GGTACGCTCCTGTAAATATTTTTTATATGGTTAGTTTTATGATAGTTCAAATACAATGTTGCCAAATTATAATAACATATAATAATATAATATATACGTGATATTTTAAAATGTGCCAGAACGGTTTCATAATTTGGTACAACCATGTCCTAGAAAAGACAGAATGCCGGAAATAACAGAAGGTAATTTAGGTAGATGAATTTATTAATTCAAGAAATAAATTATTAGGTTCTAACTCTTTTATCATTTATGCATCATCGCCTTCTACCACGCTACTGAAACCTGCTTGAGAAAAGACGACTGCGGCCATTTATCAGATTTTTGATTCGGTTCAAGTGGTAGTTGAGCATTCATGGTTTTTCCGAGACAAAAGGCAGTCCGGAACAAACGAATTTTTTTATTGAATTAAACGCCTCGCGGGCAGAATTCTTTGCCGCGAAAAAATCACTTTATTTTTCTTCGAACACAAGAATCTGTATCAGTATATATCAAAAGAATTTGCGCTCATTGCCTGACAAAAAATGTTCGGTTTGTATTAAATTTTGTAAAAAACTGAAAATATAGTTATCAATAAAACCATCTTAAGTAGAAAGTTTTCTTTCATTAATTGTTGCAAGTGACAAAACGTGTATCAATCATATTCTACTTCTAAAGAAGAAAAGGAGCTAAAGCATAATTTTCTACTGAAAATTGATATACAACGCTTGACAGGTGACAGCTCTGGCAAATTGATGAAAAATGAAGTTGGAACACAAACGCTTTAAATTTCAAACTTTACAGGATACAAAGTGTTTTCAATTTTATTAAATTAATAGGGAATTAAAAACATTGCAAATATTGTAATGGATTATAAAATTCATCCATTTAGAAGAATAAAATTGCCAAATATTATACTCGGAAGGCAAATACTTGCGTAGTTCGAGGGGAAATCATTAGGGTCAAAACGTACCATTATTTCGGAAATCAACTAAAACTGATTTATATGATTTCGTCGAAAATTCCCCTTAATTTTAAACGATGACCTTTTTTTTGACTTCTTTTGTATTTTGATCCATAAACTCTGCTGTATTTATATTTTTAATCGAAGATTTTATATCGAAGTGATTTCGGTGATGATTTCAATTATGATTTTTGAAATTTCGAAAAAAAGTTTTTGTGATTTCGGTGATTTCGAGTGAAAACGTATCAGTATTTTTGGGAGTGGTTTACCCTCGGCGTAGCTATTTTTAGTGGTTAGTTATGTTATTTTTCTTTTAGTGAAATTGTCTTATTTGATTTTTGGTTTATTAGAAAACATATTTATATTCAAAATATCACGATCCGTTAATAGTCTACATGAATATGGATATTGAGTTAATCGAAAAAGGTGCAGTTTAAATTTTTAAAACATGTTACATTCAAAATAGGATTAGTTAGAGATTAATATAAGTGTAATAATATTTTAGCAACAGTTAATTTAAATTCCCTTGAACATCGTAGGACAGAATGGTGCTTATTTGCTCTATAAATTGATAAATGGTGCTTATAGTTGTCCAGAGTTGTTAAGGTTAATACATTTTTAAGTAATTATTAAAATTCCATTTTATGATTATGCCCAAAATGAAACCATTCAAGATTGCCATTCAAAAAGCAAGGTGGCCGCATGTAGATACACAAACTCATTTCCCGTCATTGCATTGTTTATACGTTACAGTTATCGCAATCTCATGCATTTTCAATATCAAAGACTAGTTTAATGTTAGTTACTTTTAATGATTCATTATTTATATAAACTCTTGTTCCCAATAGTTTTAATAGCATTCTACCAAAATTCATACCAATTATTCACGACTAAAATTCATATTACAAAACAAGCGATATTTTTTGGGAAACAAATATTACAACCTTAGCTCTGTATCTGTAAGGTGGAGAGGGGGATTTCTCCACAGCACTTAAGCATCAAGGCTCATTGTGCATCTTCCAGGGGAATATAGAACATACCTCTCAACTTGTCAAAACCTGTTGGTTATCACAGAGAGGTGTCTAGATACAGCAAACTTCCCAGCTCATCAAAGTCCTGCAGGTTATCAACTTGTCAAAAACCTGCTGGATGACGCTGAGGGGTGTCTACAAACAGCCATCATCTCAGCTCGTCAAAGTCCTGCAACCTATTAACTCATCAAAAATCTGTTGGTTCTCGATAAGGGGTGTTTAGGCTCTCTGAATTTTCCGTAAAGCCACCTTTGTGATATCGTATAGATGGACGACAATCTCTGATTATACTAAATTTCTAAGATCCTTCATTCGTTCACTCGAAAACTAAATACTGGTGAACGAATAAAGGATATTAGAAATATGTTCTAGTACAATCAGAGATTGTCGTCCAACTATCTACACGATGTCACAAGGATGGCTTTAAGAAGAATTGAGAGAGCTGGGATAAGATTAGAACGTGTGCGCCGAAAAGAATCGAATCTGATTAACTTCAAATCTATGAGTTCGACTGTCGAAGCCATGTGCCTTGACATCCCAACTGATAGAGGCGCGGACTGCTATAGTTCAAAGTTCCAGGTTCGATCCCTGGTTGAAGCATTTATTTTTTCTTTAGTTCTGAACATCTTTAATTTATCTTTGGTTTATTTTCGCTTCAAGGAATAATTTCGTAGCGAGAATTAGGGATTACATATGTCCATATTTCTGAAACTATATTGGGTGTATATATTAATAAATTGCCTTAAATTATTTTGTTAATACCATTTAATGTACCCCCACGTCGGACACGTTCGTTAATGGAATTTGGGTGGCACAAAATTAATCGAAAACATTTGATCCAATGCATTTGATCGAAAAAACATTTTATCGAATAAAAATTGTTCGAAAAGGATAATAATCGGAAAGAAAAATGATCGAAAAGAAAAATGATAGAAAAGAACAATGATCGAAAAGAACAATGATCGAAAAGAACAATGATAGAAAAGAACAATGATCGAAAAGAAAATTAATCGAAAATAGATTTGATAGAAAAGGCAATTGATCGAAATATCAAATATACATAAAAATAGAAAAAATAAAGAAGCTCAACCAATTTACCTAACCTGTGCGGTCTAGAGTCATCGCTGATTGCTTCGCAAAAACAAATATACAAAAAATAAAAGAAACCAACTTAACTAACTTATCTAACTTGTGCAAGGGTAATTAGTTAAATTTAAATAGCACAGGTTAGGTAAATTAGTTAATTGTTTTTTATTTTTCTCATTTTTTTATAATTTTTTTACGGGGAAAACCGCGGCGGCTCCAGACCACACAACAAAAAACTTAACTAACTTACCTAACCTGTGCGAAAGCAATCTGATAAAATTAAATTGCTCCAGGCCACACAGGTTGTGTAACTTAGCTACATTTTTTTTATTTTTCTGTTTTTGTATAATTTTTTTGCGATATATTGTCCTTTCGATCGAATGAATTTTAGATCTATTGTCTTTTAGAAAAAATGTTATTCGATAAAATATATCTTCGATCAAATGTTATTCGATCAAATGTATTTTCGATCAAATGCCATTCGATAAAATGTATTTTCGAACAAATTTCCAATTCGATCAATTTTGTACCACCCATGGAATTTACCTTTCCTGTAAATTTATTTAGCTCTAAATTCCTTCTTGCGTAGATGCTTCGATTAGCAAATCTAATCGGTGTATTAATTTCTATAGACTGGTGTTTATCCCAAAACTGTTTTCGCCAATCAATTATAAATTACTTAATCAATGTCACTATTTAGTTTGTCCTCACAATTTTGGTACATAGTAATGACATTGACAATATGTCTCGTATAAAGTGATCCACAAAATGTGTCTCTGAAGTGACCAGTGAAGTTTCTTCTTTGTAGGTACATTCAGAGTTTTATGGGTAGTTGTGACATGAATCATATCTCAGTCTCTGTCGGTCATAGCTTATTTTAGGAGCAGATGATTTTTTTTATTCCGCTCATAAATATGACGATAAATATGATGAAAATAAATTAAAAAAATAATGAGAAAATGATTTATTTGAGTTTTTACCCACCCTGAACGCATAAAATTTGACTATCAACAAAAAACTGTGGTCGCAAAAAATTTGCAGAATAGGTACAGGTCACTGATATCAATACGATTTCATTTAAAACTGATAATATTCTGTGAAATACACTGAGAAACTGTTCTTGGTATTGTTTAAAAAAAGAAGAGTAAAGGAACTTCAAATATAAAATCAAATAGGTATGTTAAAAAAACTTTCCAGTATAATATATACCTAGTGTAATGATGCCTTTAGTTCTGAAAATAAATATTTTTATATCGCTAATATTGGATTCTTTCACACTAATGTATCATAGGGTGCCCCATTACGAAAATACGAAGTGCTAAACTTAAAAAAAAATCAATTAATATTTTCGAAATCGTTTCAAATATTTCAGTGATATTTAGTACGCAGTGACAGTTAATAAAGGTGCATATTTTTCTATACAAAAATAATTTTCAGCTTTAATAGTTGCGTGCGTACGGGCACTGTGTTCGATAATGTTGAAGAAAAATAGTTTTCCCCAATAATAATTATTTTTGAATTTCCCGTTCTATTTGATACATAGGAGCTTTTATGAGTTGAAATCTTGCTATGCGCCGTTTTTGAGTAAACAAACTTGGAAAATTATTATTAATTTAAAATGAACAATTAAACACATTACGGGTTGGCATCTTCATGTGGTGAACAACAACTGATGACAACATAAAATCTCACTGGGTACTAAATATCAAAAGTAAACTATAATTATTTGTTCAAGTAGATTTATACCCTTAAATATTCGCATACAATCGTTTTTAGTTATGAAAAAGAAATTGATTTTTATTTAAGCAGGTAAATTTTCAAAATATTTTTTGTGGCCGATAAAATACACATTTGCACGGAGGCCTACGGAGTTTCTTTCCTAAATAAAAATTAGCGTAAAGTGAAAGTTATACTGAAAATATATATCATTTAAACCACAAAACCTTTTATCTTCACCCTTTCCACGATCGATTTATACAATCCACAAACGACTCGATTTCCGATCACAAAAAAACTTCGCAACACTATCCACTTAACTCCTTGATTCTATCTCATCTTTTAAACATGTGCTCTCTACGTTAACACTGAAAGAAAACTAAAATTTCAAACAGTATTTTCAGACCACCTATATTATCCCGTGCTCCGTCCTTTTCTTCAACATCTGTAACTTAAATGATGCTATATGAGCTTATGAGCAACGCCCCTACTCATACGTTACAAATTAACTGTCAAATACTAATATCTATCCGCGAAACATAATTATTCAAAATATTAAAGAAACCGTGCGGCTGAATTTGAATAATCGATTAACAACCGATTAAATAATCGGAATTATGAGCTTTTTTTGGTAATGGCGTTTTTTCGATTGATTTTCGTTAAGTATACTTAAAGTGGCGCGGCACGCCCACAGACTCGAGCCAGCCAATTGGTTGAAACGGGAAAAAAATCGAGGACACGCCTATTTGGAATCCCAGGACGAGATTAAAAGAGTATAAAAATGATTTTGACTTTAATTTTTTTTTTTTAATGGGCATTATTTTTGTTTTTCGGATAAATATTTGTGGAGGTTAAAAATAGGTGTTGATGGGTATTTTTAGAGGAATGCGATTCCGCTGAAATAGATATGTAGATATAATGAGTTTTATGTATTTAATAGGTACCTACGTCACCTAATTTGTATGAAACGAAAATAATAAGATTATAATACTAGCTTTGTAGGTACTCGTAACTGGACACTTTCTTTGACTTACGTCCCTCGGGAAGAAATACTTTTTGCCCTGGAGCTAAAAATAGGGTCAAAATAGGGTAAAAATAAGGTAAAAATAAGGTAAAAATAAGGTAAAAATAAGGTAAAAATAAGGTAAAAATAAGGTAAAAATAAGGTAAAAATAGGGTAAAAATAGGTTAAAAATAGGTTAAAAATAGGGTAAAAATTGGGTAAAAATAGGGTAAAAAAAGGGTAAAAAAAGGGTAAAAATAGCGTAAAAACATCGTAAAAATAGGGTCAAAATAAGCTCAAAAATAGGGTAAGAAAAGGAAAACTAGAAAAAAGAAAAAGTGAAAAAAAGAAGAAAAGAAGAAGAAAAAAGAAAAAAGAAAAAAGAAGAAAAAAGAAGAAAAAAGAAGAAAAAAGAAGAAAAAAGAATAAAAAAGAAGAAAAAAGAAGAAAGAAGAAGAAAGAAGAAGAAAAAAGAAGAAAAAAGAAGAAAGAAGAGGAAAAAAGAAGAAAAAAGAAGAAAAAAGAAGAAAAAAGAAGAAAAAAGAAGAAAAAAGAAGAAAAAAGAAGAAAAAAGAAGAAAAAAAAGAAAAAAGAAAAAAGAAGAAAAAAGAAGAAGAAAGAAAAATAAGAAAAAAGACGAGAAAAATCGGTAAAGCATTTTACCCAGAACTTCCTTCGATATAGAAATTGTAAAAGCAGGGAACTCCTAACCACTTAAATCTTAATAATTTAAAATTAAAACCACCAAACCAAAAATCCTTTTTCACATTTCTCTCTCCATCGATCTCCTTCTAGATCCCACCCGAATTCTCACTTTGCGTTCACTCGGTATTCTTCGTCACGATCTCCGTTATTGAACAATAATGATTGGCTGCTTTTAAAATGGCCCAGTTACACAAAACAAAAGGACGATTTTATTATTTTCGTTCAAGTGGGACCTTTTTTGATTCCTTTCAGCCCCATTTTGAATTTTGAAAAACTTATTTAGGATCTGTAACCTTTGACTTCTAAAATTCTCAGATACCAATTTTAGTCGAAATATGCCGACTTTTAAAAATAATGTTTATTTTAAAAACTGCTCACCCTGTATATAACTGATCGGAAGTATAACTGGGTTTAAGCCAGAAAGGAACCTAATCTGCATACAAAATTTGTTTTACTACAGGGTGTTTCAAGATTGGTCATAAATTATACCTCGTATTTTTGGGTCAAATATAGATCGATTAAACCGTACTTACCTGTATACAAAAGTGCACCCAAAAATAGTTACAGGGTGTATAAGATAAAAATTTAAATGAATTTTTTTAACGTTGCTCTTAAACCGTTTGGCATTTTTTTATGAAATTTTATATGACGTGTTAGAATACCATGACTAATAATACCGAGGCAGAGGCAATATTTTTTTCTTGATTTTTATAGGTTTTTGGGGGGGGGGTCACCGCTCTTTTTTCCACTCAACTTTTTTGTAGTATAAAATTTAATTACAAATGAAACGCCACTGGAATGCAACATCCATTTGAAAACACTTTTTTGTATCTTAGTATTTGTTTGTAAAAAGTTTAGTTTAGACGATACAGTCATTTGAAATGACAACTTAAAAATATTCAATGGAAATTCTACGTATGAAAAATATCAAAATCAAGTTTATTTTCAAATTACAAACTAATGTCATCAAAATAAAAAAAATTCATTCTCCTCCTGTATACACTTACTACATAGTTGTAGAAATCAAAAATCGACCTGTCTCGGCAATTTTCCTAACAAGACTCCAGTAATGAGTTAAATAGGAGGGGTAAGACTTATGGTGCTCACTGTATATTGTTAATATCAGTATTTTCTATTTGTAATTCAAGTTTAGTATTTAGTAGAATTAATGTGTAGTTTAGTAAATCCCCACTGTCGAATTTTGAATTAAATATAATGATATTGTTGTAACGTTGTTGCTTTTCTAATTGTTTGTTTGTAGATTTCAGTTGCTGTATTTCGTTTTCAAGTCTTGCGACTTTTTCTTTTTCTAGAAATAACAGATTCCTAATGTTTGTTATTTATTCGTTCAGTTGTTTTGTAATTGTGGCTGTTTGTTTTTTATTTTGTTCTTCTATAATTATCGTTAGTTACTGTATAATGCTGGCTGAATCCATTTTGGTTTTTCTTATGGATTATTTTCACATAAGCCCCCTGACTAATATAAATGCGTTGTTTGTATTGTGAAATGCAACAACTGGACAAATCTTTGTTACTTTTTAAGATTTTTTACAGAATTTAAGTGCAAGTATCACTTACTGTTATATAAATGCACTAGCCAATTTTCAATATATTCGGTTCACTTTTAACTGGTTTTTCGTTCACTTTATCGGGATCGGCTTTACATCGACTTCACAGCACAAAGACCGTTTGTGTATATATATATTTCCTATATTACGATGAAAGTCTATTCTTGAAATATTTTCCCAGCGATCCATGGGAAAGAATTTTCTCAAAAAATTGATGACCTGCTTTGATTGCCACCGTGAAAATTGAATTTTAAATATCAATAGGTATAAAGAAATTAAAATTACAGAAACATTTTTCTAGTATACACTACTATTCATTTTAACATTTATAGGTACTTTATTATGAGGCTTTCAATAATTTTCTACATTCACAGAATTCGGAATCAACGCAGTCTGTATGAATTCAGCGAACATGAAAACGAAGGGGATGAAGAGGACGTGACAGAGACAGAGAAACGTACGTTCAAGCCGTGATTTGAATTTGACGTGAAATTTGGTTTATTGAGACTTTTAATTAAGCTTTAAAATTCATTTAATTATCTTGAAGTGGGTACTGTTGTGAATTAATTATCCGTGTTTCTGTATAAATTCGGGGGGAAAACATTTTCAGAGATAAACGGCAGAGTTTGAAATTTGTTCACAGTTTTATTTAGTCTTTAATATTACCCTGTGACAATTTCGGTGATAAGGACATTGCGCATTCCCCCTTAGCCTTTGTAATCTGTTTAAAATTCCAACAAAGACTTTTAAGAAGGCTTATCCTTCATTATATTAGACATGTCTCCGCTGTGTCACCAAAACTTACCCATAATACAGTTTACATTTTATCTCATGTGTAACCTAAAGTCTTTATGGTAGTCGCATCTACAATGAACTGTAAAATTTTTGGTAAAAATCAGTTTATGATACCTCTAGCGGTCAGGATATAAACGTTTTATATGATTTTGCAAAAATCTCTTTTTATTTGCGCCGTTACTTCTCGAAATTTACTGCTTGGTTAATTCAAATTTAAAACAATTGGGTAAGTAACTGGTATACAAAATTATAAATTCGTTTTACAATTCTATTGCATTAAATATTTTACACTGTCAAATTTAAGGGTAGTAGAAAATCGATGTTTTGGATTAAAAATTATGCTTCTGGGCTTACTAAGAGATATAAAATATATTATTCCCAAGTATTGGATTCTAACTAACTAATTATATATATACAGGGTGTCCGGGAAAATGTGGGAGGTCTCTCGGATTCAGATAGAAAATTAAAATATAAGATGACAAGTTCCCATAATTATTTTTCCTAGCGGCCCTCCCTACGGAGATACGTCCTCCAGAAGGACGCCACTGGAAATTAATTTTTCTTTAATAACTTTCAAACTACGTAATACAATTTAATAAAAATTTAATATGATAGTATGAACCTCTTAAAATATTGCCCTTAAAACATAATTAGCTTGTTTAGTTTACCAGGGGCGGACTAGGTTGTACATTTTATTGCTTACATTTTTAACACCCTGTATGATGAGTTAAGAAAAATAAATTTCAATACCTTGAACATTAATCTAAAGAAAATGTTCTCTTCTTCATTGACGATAAAAGAAACCGTTTTTGAGAAAAAAAATAATAAAAGAATTAATGTTTTATTTTTATTAAAAAATTAAACTCCCAGAATTAGATAATTTCAAATTGGTAAATTCTAAAATACAACTTGGAGTATTGTATGTTTTCATTATGAACCCACTAGAGCTTGTAACGATTGAATCTAAATACAAATACGCTAATTAGAAATAATCAATTAAAAACTTTATAAGTGGGTTCAACATGTGCTCCGTGAACTCTGATACACTCACGAGCCCGACGAATAGAGGACTGCTGTACTCGCCACAACAACCCAGAATTATTCCTTATCACATCACAATGAAATGTGATTCTCTGTTAAAGTTCCTCCCTAGTATCAACCGGAGAGAAATAGACCAAGATTTTGAGATGACTCCATAGGTAAAAATTAATTGGCGTTAGGTCAGGAGACCGTAGAGGCCAGGCAATTGGACCTCCTCTACCTATTCAACGGTTTCAATAGACGTTATTCAGGTGGTCCCGTACAGCGACGCTAAAGTGAGGTGGGGCTCCATCATGCATAAAATACATGCTTCGGCGGCTTTCAAGTGGCAAATGCTCTATCGAATCCAGAAAAGCGTTCTGAAGGAACTGTAAATAAAGTTCACCATTTAATCGTGGCGGCAATACGCATGGTCCAATCAAAAAATTGCCGATTATTCCTGCCCAAACATTAATTGATTGGAAC